CTACCAACAGCAAGCAGGAAACTCGGCTTAAGGCGTCGACGTGTCTCATCTTGCTCCCGCTTCTGTGTTCGATTTCGTAGTTGAAATTTTGAAGGAATAACGCCCAACGGGTGACTCTTAATGGAGTGTCCCGCTTCCTCATCGTCATCGCGAACGCGTTACAATCCGTAACGATTTTGAATTTCAGCCCCAGCAGATAGACACGCCACTTCTTGAGTGCCCCAACAATGGCCAGCACTTCCAGCTCGTAGGAATGATATTTTTCTTCAGTTTCTGTTGTTTTCCGGCTCATGTATTGTATGGGGTGAAACAGCTGATCGTCAGCATCCTTTTGGAGAAGGACTGCCCCATACCCATACATCGACGCATCCGTGTGCACCTCCGTCATCGCCTTGGGATTATACAACCGCAATACTGGAGCCTTCACCAAGGCCGCCTTCAATTGCTTGAATGCCAGCAGCTTCCACTGCGTACCCCTCTATGAATCGCCTGAAATAGGATGTCAGGCCCAGAAACCGTTGCACAGCCTTACGATCCTGCGGTATCGGAAATTTTTCGACAGCCCTCGTCTTAGCCTCAGATGGTTTGATAGTACCCCCTCGTATAACGTAGCCCAAAAAATCTACCGACGTCTTAGGGAATTGACACTTGTTCCATTTAAATCGTAGGTTATACTCTTCTGCCCTTCTTATGACGGCTCCCAGCTTTTGGACTCCCTCGTTGATGTCCTTGGCGGGAATGATGAGGTCGTCCATGTAAGCGACGACGGTACCGTTTTGTATCATATCACGGAAAACTGCAAAGATGAACCTAGAGAACACGGCCGGTGAGTTCAAAATTCCAAACGGGACGTAAAGGAATTCGTATTGCTCATTGTGAGTCACGAACGAAGTGTACTTTCTCGAACTAGCCTCAACCGGTACGTGAAAGAATCCATTGGTGAGATCGAGTGTAGTAAAAGCGTTTGCCGCGTGCAACCTTTCAACCACGTCGTCGATTAGGGGCATCGGGAAATTGTCCCTTACTATCTTCTCGTTGAGCCGTCTGTAATCGCAGCAAAGGCGCTTGCTGCCATCTTTCTTAGCGACTAATAGGACAGGCGACGCGTACTCCGACGTGCTGCGTTGTATAATTCCCTCTCTCATCCATGTTGCTACCTGCCCCTCCACGATGCGCTTGTCTGCGTGTGACATACGTCGTGGCCCCGCGTATACTGGTGCTTCGTCGGCCAACAAAATTTTCATCTCCACTGGCGTTTTGCGTGTCTTCCTCGGCGCATAGCTGCTAACCCACTCCCTTACAAGATTTGCCTTCTCCTTGCTGAGATGTGACAAATCCAGCTCGGGCTCGCTCCTCTCCATCATTGTTACGCATAGTCCATCAAACTCGTTCCATAGATCAGGTTCTGTTTCGATAGTTGCTACCGCGTTGTTGCTGGTTTCTTCTGATGTCTTCATTTTCGGCTTAAATTCCACTAGATCCTCGTGAACGATTAATGTTACCTGTTTCAGGATGTCATTACAGATCACTGCTGCATACTTCATATCACGTTCCCTGGTCACATGAAACGTGATTTCCAACTCCATATCGTCGATGATAAACGCTCTAGAGAAACTACCTAATGTTGTTAGCCCGCCTTTCCCTACTCCTACCAGACGACGTCGATCGCCGACCAATTCAATATCACTATCAAGCATGAGCAAGGTGTCATACCGCAGTAAGCACAGGTCACACCCTGTATCGACTAGAGCGGAGAATGTTATATGGTTCCGCTTAACGTCTACGAAGATGCATCTGCCCGAGTCTCCTATCCTTCCTCCTAGAGTATTGGCATTGTGGCTCTCCATTTTGATAGCAGCTGGAGCGCTTCTACAGACAGCAGCTCGGTGCCCTGGTTGCCCGCACCTGAAACATTTAAACGATCCGCGACAGTCCTTGGCCAGATGAGAAGTGCTTCCACACTTAAAGCACCTTCTTGCCTCCTTAACGCGTGCATTGGGGTTGACAGAAATTCTGCTTCTGACGGTCAGCTGATTTGGATTCGAGGTAGTCGCTTGCTGGCGGTTAGACCGCACCTTTTCATATATGCTTATCTGCCCCTTGAGTTCCGCTACGGTTTTGGCTTGATACAAGTTAATCTTATTTTGTTTCGAGTCGGGGATGCCATCGATAAAGTACTCAATGAGACTCATATCGTCCAGCTTCACTGATTTCCCGATCTCCATCAAGGAGTAGAGGTATTCTTTAAGGTCCTCGTTGTTGTGCTTACAGCGGTTCCGTAACATGCGATGCACCTCTAACGACGATACCTTAGCTCCAAATTCCGATATCAGTGCTTGCCTCAAGGAGTCCCAGTCGGTGACATGGCGCTGACTGCGTATAAAAATTTTGGCGGCCCCTTTCAGCAGCTGTTTAGCATATATAAATTTTTGGAGCCCGTTCCAATTAACTGCGGTAGCGTTTATTCCTCAACCTGCGGCTGATCCGACCCACTGAAGGACGTCAACGAGTCTTCTATGTCGCGCAATGTGAAGCAGGTACGCTCATGAAAGCTATTTGGCATTGCCCTTGATGGGGACGAACCAGCGTTATCATAAACGGAAGTTGCATCGACATCACCACTAGTGTCATCATCTTCGCTATCGGCATTCAGACCGAAGTGCTCAAGTAGTCGGTCCTGTGGCGTGACCTTTGCTTTAGCCCTACTACATTCAATGCTAGAATTTCGCTTCGCTCCATTGTCGACCCTTACCACTTACAAAGTGCTTCAGAACAGGTGCAAAATAAAATATTTTACAAAACTAGTTAGGTTTTCCGATAAAATATTCTGTGCCGCCGATATGCCTGTACCGTATGATAATTCTAAGTATTGGGTTTACAAATTTTATATATGTATATATTTATTGTTATTAAATTCTTTTTTTTTCTCAAAATACACACTAAACAGATTAGGAATATACTGCACCGTCAACAGTCTAAAAGTTTACATATGCTCTTTGTTTAAAATTTTCGCAATTTTGCGTTGTGCTTATAATCCCCAAAATATGAAAAGAATTGTTTTACACTAACATACAAAGTACAGTTGATTAATTGATTTAGTGATCAATACAATGAATACACATGAAATTATAAAAGCGTCTACTAACTAAACAATTTCAAATTAATTTTACTTAGCTTCGCTCCACTGTGCTGCTAGCCTGTATGAAATGCGATGATTTGTTCGACCTCTGCTCTTCTTCCAACCTCCAACTGCAACCTCCACTTCAGCCGTTCGAGAAAACACCAACTTCCTGCTTTTCTAGCCACTCCTTGGCTACAACATCGACCGCAACACCCAATGCAGGTTCGATGCAACAACTTTCGACTGCTCCTGTTCCAGCTTTGGATACAACTTCGACTATTTCGTACTCTTCAATGCAACTACTTCTTCATAGTACTTCACTTCAGTCGAACTCTTCTGGTTTCATGCAACTTCGAATATTTCGCCGCTTTGATTGCGCAGCTGCAGCGCTGTTCAGCTCTGTTGTCGCCTCTGCCAACGAAGTATCGGCTTGCGTTAATGCGCCTGTGCCTGCTTATATACTTATGTATATATATGCGGGACTTAGCTACCGTTACCACTGCCTTGCCTCTGCCACGGATACCGTTATTGCAAATTTTCTGCGAAGTAGATTTATTTTTCGCAAAATTATATTTTGTGACTTTCATAAACAATTTGCACAATTTTGCCACTTTTAACCTCCGCAAAGTTTATTATTTCGCTAGTCTTTATTTGCGAACTTTTCCACTATGTACGTATGTACATGTGTATGTATTACACTTTTTCAACAATTTAAAAGTTTTTGCACGTGCGCTTGCTGGCGCTGTTCAGTCCCTCTTCTTACACCACTTTTGTAGGATACCGAGTGGGTTTTCTGCTATAACTTTACTTTTATTTAACTTTCATAAATACACCGATTCCTTACATGTCTATGCTACGTAGAACGGTTGGCAGGCAGGCAGGCACTCACGCGGCGACGGTCGACAACGTAATGATTTTATGTTCTTTGGCTACAGTTAGGTCAGCCATCATTGGCGTGCGTTCGTTAAATTCGGTCAGTAGGGTTGCCTATATTTAAGGACTAACGTCAGTGTTGCCGTCTACTCGGACCCAATCCCACATACATATGTATTATTTACACTAGTAACTGTTTATGTAAATATGTATGTATTTTTTATGCTTAATATATGCAAATAAAAGAAGAAAGTAAATACAACTAAATTTTTATTTGTGTCAAACTGAACGTTTTTTTCCAATAATAAACGGTTAGCTGATTCAAGTCTACAGCAAGTTCACAAAATTAATTGATAACTTGTATCAACCAAAGCATTGTTTATATTTGCTCAACAATGATTTTATTCAACTAACAATATTGTCCACTCAAGGTAGTAGTTTTGTAATTATTAACAAATATACATTTGTCCCAACTAGAAGTCTCAAGCAAATTGCAGACTTTTGTGAACTAGGTATTTATTTCGCCATATCCAACTATGCTACTTGGTCACTATAACCAAATCTTGGTAATTATAACTAAACCTTTTTCCGAGTGTATATCAAATCGCCCAAATAATATTAATACCGTGACTTGCAAAGGAATAAAAATATATAATATTAAATAATATAAACTTATTTTTTTGAGTTTTTTGCATTTATTTTTTTATAAGTTTTTTTACAAGCAGTGTTTCTGGTTTACAGCTACATTGAATATCAGAATTAGAGCATAAGAACATATTAGTATATAAAATTGTTAATAACCTACCCAATTTTGTTTTCAGTGAAGTGCATGAAGTTTGAAGCTTCGATACTAAATATTTAGTAAGCAGTTCCTTTTAAACAGATTCTTAAAGAAAACTCTAAAACTAAAGGGGAGAGTAGATTTTATTCTACTTGCATGAAAACTTCGGACCTTAGGTCCAATTTTGCCTGCCTATTTCTCGTCGCGCATTTATTACTTTTGCTTAGCAAAATAACAATTTAGTGTATATTGTGTAAATAAACAATAAGAAAATGAGATTTATATAAACCCCAGAAAAAATGCCTAACGATTTTCATGAACAGGTATGTATGAGTAATGCATACTATTACGTAAGTATGATGATTAATTTTATAGTTTAGGGAAATGTACATATGTATGCATGTATGTAAATGTAAAAATTGTTTATTTAACACGAACGAGGAGCTTTGATCCACCATAGAGAATGATTGCGTGTTGTGAATAATTTAAACGCCCGGAGGTGGCGGCTCGTCAAAATGCGTTTTTATTTCCTTGCAAAGGGGCTGAGGTTTTTGAACAGGTGGAATATCTATCATGCCGTCAGGAACCATACTCAGAAGCTCCTCTTCACTTAACTGAGCTAAGCGGCTAGATGTCTTTCCTGCAGGTTTTGCTGAAAATACAAAAACATAATTCAAACTACTTTCGTTGAAAAATGCCACCGAAAAAAGTCAGCGATAAAATTTGTTTACCGCTTGTTTCAAATGAAACCAACTCAGGATTGTACTCTTCATCTGGACCCAAATTACTAAAGGCTTTTGTTGCAGTTTTAATCAGGGACGTCTGTGACGGTAGTGCAGATGCAGGTAATTGCGTTTGGCCACCTTCTGGTTTGCTTTTTATGCTGGCAAGTATTTGAGAAAGGTTTGAGGGGATAGATATATTTGCCAAAGCTGCGGAGGTCTTAGATGATGACGAAGCCGCAAAACACTAAAAAATAGGGAAATGTGTACTCATATTTGATTATTTTAATTAATATCTTACCGACGATTCTACATTTAGCAGACCAGCTATCTCCTTTTCTTGTGCAGCGATTTGGCGGTTTAACTCTTCCATTTTTCGTTTCAATTCATCCTCATCGGCTCTTACTGCCCTTTTTGATGCAATGAGGGTATCATCATCGGAACTTCCTCCGGGTGAATATGGCTCATCAGCATCATCGGTTACAGATGTTAGTAGCATAGAAGTAGCTAAAAAATTATATAAACGTATTCTACAAATCGTCGTTTAAAGTGCAAAACCGCGTACCAACAAAATGCAAAACCGAGTATGTGAAGTTGTAGAAATTATTTTCTAGCGCGTAAAAACACTCATATTTCAAAATGGTTCTCTTTTTTATAAAGCAATCGCATTTCTGGCTAGTATATTTCATGACGATTGGATAGGGATTGAGCCAAGAGTTTATGTGACCAAATCCAATTTTTGGCAGCCAATGTCAGTTACGCGGTTTTGCAGAATGACGATACGCGGTTTTGTACTTTAAACGACGATATGTAACTTTATATTGAAACTTGATTTACATACATTTGTGTGACTTTGCAGTGATTGGAGCTTTTATTATAGCATCCACGTCGATTTCATCAACTTTTGGTGTAGATGCATGCATTCGCCTCTTTCTTTTTGGACTGCCGGGTGGAGTAAAGCTGACCGTTTCTGTACCACGCCGGTAGGACTAAAAGCAACAATACCAAACTGTTAATAGTTCCCTATTGCGAGTATTTGCTAGATAACTGAATTGAAACTTGAAACGTTGGCACTCCGCGGGCAAAGGATATTATTCAAAAGTCTCAAGATAGCAATTAAACTCGATCTCTACTTTTCCTGTACGAAAAAATTCAACATATTGTTAAGCAAATTTAAACAACAAAGCAATGCGGTTATTTATACCAGTTAAGTTAATTTTACGTAAAAATGAGAGATTCTAATATAATATGCCTCCAAGAAATCATTTATTATATCGTCATCAATGCAAAATACTATATTTATAAATGGCCAGAGACTCTCGCTTCAGCAGTAACTCTTGGGTACTTGTATGCTGTTACAACAACAACAACCCTATTTGACTAATATAAAATTTTACAAGTGAAAAAACTTTTTAACTTAACATGGGAAATGGTTGCAGATATATCTCAAAATCACAATAACAAATGTTTAACATTGAATTTTGGTATTAGTATAAAAAAATCATTTTCGAAATATCTCAATCAGGGTCTTTTGAATTTATAACGAAAATAAAAAAAAGTTTGCATCCTAGAGTTGAAATATATGTGTAGCAAACAAGTATGTACAGTCAGTCAATAAAGTTTAGNCTAAGTTTGCATCCTAGAGTTGAAATATATGTGTAGCAAACAAGTATGTACAGTCAGTCAATAAAGTTTAGGTACAGCGAAATTTTTGCAGTACCGACAACTTTTTAAATTTTTTTTGTATAATTTTTTACAAAAATATGGTTAAACTATGAAACATTTTTAACAAGCTCGATTAAAATATCATTAATTGTCGATGTTTCGACCTCAGTCTGAGGTCATTTTCAGGAACTCTTGATTGTGATATCAATAAACGAAGATATGAGTTTTATTTAATTGCTGTTAAAAATGTTTCATAATTTAAAATTCAAAAGCCAACAACAAAAACAAAAAAATATGGTTAATTCTACAACAAAAACCCCAAAAAGCAGAGTCCCAAACCTTATGCAAAATTAAAGAAAATTCTGCAAATTTTCATCCGTTGCATTTTTTATTTACACTCATTAAAAAGGTGAGTACGCAGTTTTCTAACCCATTCAATTTTAGTACAACAAAGTGCAAGTTTAAGGTAGCTAGGACTTACCATTGATTTTTAGCAATTTTTTTTTTGCTGACACCTTCGACAATATTTTTATATGGAAAAAATCTGCGACACCTTCAACAAAAAAAATTTGCTAAAAATCAATGGTAAGTCCTAGCTTCCTCATAATTGCACTTTATTATACTTAAATTGAATGGGCTAAAAAAACTGCATACTCAACTTTTTTCCGTATAATTGCACTTTATTATACTAAAATTGAATGGGCTAAAATACTGCACACACAACTTTTTCCCGAGAGCGTAAAAAAAGTGCAATATTTGAATGAAATTTTGCAGAATTTTCTTTAATTTTGTACAAGGTTTGGAGCAATGATTTTTGGGGTTTTTGTTGTACAATTAACCTTATTTTTATAAAAAATTTGCGAAAAATAAAATATTAAAAAAAGGTTGCCCGTATTGTAAAGAATTCGCTTTTGTTGTTGTTGTTGTAGCGGCTACAACAACCCCGCCCAGATCGGTTGGTATCTCAGTCGTTGTCGTCAAGTTCCACTAACGGCAACCCTAGGAAGCGTGCAGCTTCTGTGGGATCTGTCCACAGGGACAAGGCCGTTAGGGTTGTCGGGTTTTCCGGGCATGCGAAGAGATGGTTCGAGTCATGTGGGGTCTCTCCGCATGCCGGACATTCGTTCGGCACATCCTCATTCAACCTACTCAAGTAGGAGTTTAACCTGCTGCAGTAGCCGGAGCGAAGTTGAGCGAGTGTAGTGCGTGTCTCCCGAGGCAGATGAAGCTCTGTCTCGTCACTGCTGTGTATGCCGAAGACGATTACACCACAACTCCACCTCAGTCAAGTGTAATGCCTACGAGGGGTGGAGTCACCTCAGGGTCTGCTCGGGACTACGGACACACAGACAGTGGACCACGTCGTACGTGGCCCCCTGTTGCTCAAACAGAGCAGCCTCCACGGCAAACCATAGTCCGCACACAGCAACCACACACAGTCGCCACAACACAACAACATAATAACACCACAGACCGTACCACAGCCACCACAGACCACGTAACACACACAACCGCACCACCACCCACACGCCGCCGCCAACAACTCCTGGTTCCCCCTACAATCTGCACGGTATGTCAGACCAGAATATTCCGTAATGTGACATCAGTCAAGTGCAACACCTGCTTTGGCTGGTGCCACTTTAGGGCATGTTCAGGTCTGCGTACCACGCGAGATTGGACGGGGAACTTCGAGGGCCCGTGTTGCGCTGCTCGGTCGCAGACGTCAATTGCGACGCCCCCACGACCACCACAGGGCGGCAATCACCTCAGCGCACACACAGCCAACGGCGGCAAGAACATACACCTCACTCACACCCCACATCACGACACGTCTCCCGAACCACATGAAGCTCCTCCAATTCAACTGTAACGGGCTACAGAGCAAGATTGAGGAGATAACCGTCTTCATGTGTCGGCATGGTGTATTAATAGCTGCGGTCCAAGAGACGAAGTTGCACAGCAATTCAACTTTGTTGAATTGCGCCGGGTACAACGTGCACCGTCGAGATCGCGAGCGAGATAATGGTGGTGGCTTAGCGTTCATCACGCACCACACCGTGCAGTATCGTCTTATCGAAGCAGACATCGACCACAGGGATACCACCCTAGAATGTCAGGGCATCGCTATCCGGTCAGGCGATGTCGAGCTCGAAATATTTAACATATACATACCCCCTGTCACCTGCTGCCCGGCAGGATATCACCCTGATATAGGTGCGCTCCTCAGAGGTGAAAACCGTATGGTAGTAGGTGACTTTAATGCGCACCACGATCTTTGGCACTCAAGCCTGTCGAACGATCGTAGGGGAACAGACTTGGCTGAGCAGATAGACGATTCGACATTCTGCACAATGAACGACGACGCACCCACCAGGATTATGGG